CCACCACCGCGGATCCGGCATTCTTCCTCACCGCGAGCAGTGGATCCGGCGCTCCTGCCCCTCTCCGGCGACGGATCGGGCTCCACATGCGCGGCGGCGGGGGCTCACGGCGAGGTGGTGGCGTGGATCCGGTGAGCGGGCCTCTCCGATGGCTCCGGCCGGAGTTTGCGGGCCCCGGCGGATCATGCGACGACGGGGGCTCACGGCGCTCCTTCGATGATCGGATCTGGTGGCGGGAAGGCCGGATGCGGTGGTGGGGATACCGGAGCCGGTGAGTGGCGGCGGCGCATGGCTTATCCATGGGTTTTCCCTTTTTTTTGTTTTTTATTCGATTTACCGAGGCGGGCATCCAACCGCCTCGGAAAAGGTCCCATTTACCGTGAGCTTTCGATCGAGGCGGTTGCGATGCCCGCCTCGGTAAAGTTTTCTGTAGTATTGCTAAATTCTCCGTCGAATACATATTAATAAATAATGTTACTAAATTCTCCATCGAGTTGTAGAGTGTTTTTCTAGTAATTTTTTTGTACAACTTTTTCTATTTTCCATTGATGAAAAGAATGCACAAACATATATACAGAAGTACAACAGGGGGAGGGAGGGGAGAGTACAAGGAGTCCAGGCCCAACAGGGAGAGTACAAGGGATCCAGTTTTTCTCGTAATTGAGCTGGCCTGTGGGTTCGTATCTTTTTTTTTTCTATTTTCTCTTTGTCTAATAAAAATCATGACAAAATATTCAAATCTGTTGCTGTCTTTTACAAAAAAAAAACATATTAATAGTATTTTTATTAGTGTCATTAATATTAACATTTTTTACTAAATCTAGTTAATTTTTAATAATTTGACTAAGGAGAAAATTAGAATCACACTGTTTAGGATGGAGGTAGTACTGTAGCAGTGGCTAGTGGCACGATCGACCAGCGACGATGATGGTTAGCAAGTTCGCTTAACAAGTTAACGACATCGTGAGCTGTACGATGCCTACCTTTTGCTCTCTACCTTACTCCGTTCAACTTTTGACGTGCTGGGTACTCTGGATGTGATGTGGCCATGTGGGTAAAATGTGTGTTTTTTTTATTTTTTAAAAACACTCATGTGGGACAGTGGGGCGGGAAGTGGATAGAGGTAGAATGTCTGGCTTCGCAAGACGCGACGGAATGTTCTGCCAAGTGTGCTAGCAGTAGAGAGCAGCAGGACACAGGGCGGAGCTAGCATCGTTAGTTCTTTACAAACAACGCAATGCCCACGGCGGGAAACCTCGCCGGCGTCGAGCTTTGGCCTAAGCTAATATAATGCCAATTGCCAATCACACGTACGTACGTACGCCTCCTATATGAAAATGAAGCAGGCCACTGGCAAAGTGGCAAGGCATGCATGCATGCAATCATGCTCAACAGCCGAACTGTGTATAACAAAACAAGCGGTCATGCATATATATAGAACTCGCACTTGACACTTGTTATTTATATGTTCAATAATACTGTGACACGGGCGTCTGTCCTTATCCAGTTATCCGGACGCCACGCATCCACAAACCCGCCTCGCTGCTGCCGCTTCTCCCCATCGCTCGCTCCAGCCCGCAATGCGCGCCTTGCTCGTGATACTGCTGCCTCCCGTTCCTCGCTCCGCTCGTCAAGTGTCCCGGCCCGTGCGTCGCTAGGCCCGCTTGCCCACGGCGCGCCATCCCTCGCCGCGCCCCCATCCTGCGCGCGTGCGCTGCCTCTGCTCTCCCCATCTCTCGCTCTCTATCTCGCGTCCGATGACAGCAGTGCACCTCCTCGGCCTCTTCCCAACCCCCAACGCCGCTGAGACGCCTCACCGCAGCCGACCCTTACCGATGGGCGGTGGCGCACGTGTCGGGGTGCCTCGGGTCGTCCCCAGCCGAGCCAAGGGCACCCACGAGCGTGGCCGGATGCTAGTGGTGCTCGCGCGCCGGTGCTCGCCGCCGGCTTCCACCTCGACGGTCGGAATCGACCAGCCTAGACCCCCTCCCCTATATTGCAAATGTATGTTTCAGGTGTTTCAAAGGTATGCTGCATTTGTTTCTTGTGGATGTTGCAAAAGTGGATCGGGGATGTCGTTGCATATGTTGCAAGTGTTTCAAGGACATGTTGCGAGCGTTTGTTCAAAATATTTCATCTGTTCTAGTCGTATGTTGCACACGTTTTGAACATGGATGTTTGCATATGTTTTACACATATGTTGCAACAACATATTTCAGATGTTTCATTTGTTTTTGAAGTATATTGCAAGTGTTTTATTTGAATGTTGCATATGGTTGCAATGGCTATATTGCAAGTGTATGTTCTAAATGTTTATCTGTTTTAGACGTATGTTGCAGTTGGTTTATCTCAGTGTTACAAAAGTAGATCTAGATGTAGGGTTGTCGAGCGAGGAAGAGAGAGCTATCGCGGGAGCCATGGTGGCGTTAGCTGGTAAGCTGGCAGCAGCGCTCCACTAGAGGTCACGCAGGGTCACGTCTGCGTGGGCGTACGTCGCGCGTTTCCCTACGACATGCGGCCTTTCGCTGCCCCGCTGCTCTTGCTGAAGCTCTTGGAGCAGAAGCTTTGTGGCGGGGAGATGCAGAAGCTGGCTGTGGAGAATGATCGGATTGTTGCGTGCCACGTCGCAGGTGACGCGGGTGCGGCAAAGATGGGCCCCATAGGGTGAAGCAGGCACGGCGAGGATGAGACCTCGCGTGGTGTGGACGCGGCGGGTGCGCTCTCCTTTTTGCATGGGCGCAGCAGACGCAATTATGTTTCGATTTACGTGAGGGGCGCGGCAGGTGTGTCGAACGGGAGCCGCGTCCGGACGCAGGCCTAGGGCTGGACATCCGGATGTCCGGGCGTTAGGCTTGCCGTTATATGTTCCCTGTACATCGTCGTCGTCCTTTTTTCTTTGAATTGCCAACGAGCCTCTATTCCATCTGGTTAGAGCTCCTCAGCGGCACTCCACAGGTCCTGTGTTCGATTCCCCGTAGGAGCGAATTTCAGGCTATGGTTAAAAAAAATCTCTCGGCTGTCCCATGGCTAAAGCACAGGTCAAAAGGTCCGGCCCGATTCTCACAGGGCAACGGTGCCTCTGCGTCAGGGTGGGGCAAGGGTTTAGGGTTTTCTCGGCCGTCTTACCCCTTTAGGTCGAGGTTTTTTTTTCTTTCTTCTTTGAATTGGCCTCCAGTTAACTTGGTCCGGTCGCTACCGAGTGCAAAATCAACGGTCAGGATATATATTCAAACTGTGGAGTGACGTAACGCTGCACGAGTCCTGTAGCAGCGTAGGTAGACTTCCAGCCGCTTTCCGGTTCGTGGCGTGTAGAATCCCTCGCCGCTCGGTACACCGATACGCTAGCTGCTGCACGTACTAGGCAGACAGCAGACGGCAGACGGCCGGTCCATCCGGCTATCCACGGCAAGCCAGCGGCCGGCGGCTACGTACCATACCACCCACCGGGCCGGTCGCCCAATCGCTTGCTCCCGCGTGCGTCCCTGCACTTGCAATCGCAAGCGGTAAACCAGCCAAGCGGGCTGCCGCGGCGGAATACATAGGTTTCCGGCCCATCACGTACGAAAAACGTAAAACCCCGAGTTACTCCCTCTTGTTTGATCGAAGCCCTCTTCCCTCTCTTGAATCTCGTTCATAAATACCCCCGCTCATGCATCATATCGACTCAGCCACACACACACACAGCACGAACGAAGCCCACCGGCCAGTCACCACTCACCAGACAAAAATTAAACGAGAGTCCTCCTTGAATTAAACGTATACTCGGTACTCGGGGCTAGACGTACTGCTACAGTAGTCAGGGCGGTTTTGGTTGGTCAATGATGGCGCCGGTGTACACTGCCACTGCGGATCGCGGCTCCAACGGGTCCGGCCTGACGCTGAACCCGGCGGCGCAGCCGGCGCTCAGCCGCATCGAGTCGACGACGCTGTCCACGCCCAAGGCGCCGCCGGCGGCTTACGGGAACATCATAACCGTGCTGAGCATCGATGGAGGCGGCGTCCGTGGGATCATCCCGGGCACCATCCTCGGCTTCCTCGAGGAAAAGCTGCAGGTGAGGATTATTCACATATATGTATACGAGTTTCATATGGGAAGCATGCATGTTGTCTAACCATGGATTTTGTGACTGCAGGAGCTTGACGGACAGGACGCGAGGCTCGCGGACTACTTCGATGTGATCGCCGGGACGAGCACCGGCGGGTTGGTGACCGCCATGCTCACGGCGCCGAACAAGGACGGGCGTCCGCTATTTGCTGCCAAGGACATCAACAACTTCTACCTCGAGCACTGCCCCAAGATCTTCCCATCCGGCAGGTGAGGATCCAATCTTTGCATTCACGAACCTACACGAGTCATCGAGTCATACGAGCGGTCGCCGTATGAGACGAGTGTTATGCATCAGCCCAACCTGGTGCAAATGTTTGACTGCATCGTCGTGTGTGTTGTGCAGCGGCGGTCCTCTTGGACTGTTCAAGAGCATGGCAGGGCCCAAGTACGACGGCAAGTACCTCCACTCCATCGTCCGGGAGCTCCTCGGCGAGACGAGGGTCAGCCAGGCGCTCCAGAACATCGTCATCCCCACCTTCGACATCAAGCTCCTCCAGCCCACTGTCTTCTCCAGATACGATGTACGTCCATGCAGAAATACATTTGAGATAGGATAGGAGCACTGTCGTTGATGCAGCATGGTTGGACCTTTCACCGTGCTAATTGCTAACGCTCCGGTGATTAATTCACGCAGGCCATGAGCGATGTCTCCAAGGACGCTCTGCTCTCCGACGTGTGCATCAGCACGTCCGCCGCGCCGACATATCTCCCAGGACACCAGTTCGAGACGACAGACAAGGACGGCAAGCCCCGGGCCTTCAACCTCGTCGACGGAGGCGTCGCAGCAAACAACCCGGTGGGTGATCGGCCGAACATGCTACGTGCTACTACGTGCATAGTTTTCGACTTTTCCATGAGTCGTGACGCTGACGAAACTTGACAAATTTTGCAGACGCTGCTGGCGATGACGCACGTGAGCAAGCAGATCCTGCTGGGCAACCAGGACTTCTTCCCGATCAAGCCCGCGGACTACGGCAAGTTCATGGTGCTGTCCCTGGGCACGGGGTCCGCCAAGGTGGAGGAGAAGTTCGACGCCGTGCAGTGCAGCAAGTGGGGAATCCTGGGGTGGCTCTACAACAAGGGCGCCACGCCCATCATCGACAGCTTCAGCCAGGCCAGCTCCGATCTCGTCGACATCCACGCCTCCGTGCTCTTCCAGGCGCTGCACTGCAGCAAGAGCTACCTCCGCATCCAGGACGACGAGCTCAAGGGCGAGACGGCGTCCGTCGACGTGTCTACTAGGGAGAACCTGAACCACCTCGTCGACGTCGGCAAGGCGCTGCTGAAGAAGCCGGTGTGCAAGGTGAACATTGAGACCGGCAAGAACGAGCCGGACGGGCATAGGGGCACCAATGAGCAGGAGCTGATCCATTTCGCCCAAATGCTCGTAGATGAGCGACGGGCAAGGCTTCACAAGAAAGGCAACAGCACACTGTAAAATCAAAAATGGATGGGCTAGGATACTCTTGTGTCAAATATATGTAAGCATGCTCTGTAATTATATTCATTCCTTTATACCCCAGAAAGCATATTCTGTTCGTACTCAATGCATCCTGAAAATCTCGGAAATTTTTATATTTATGTAAGCATGCTCTGTAAATTGTTTTATATAAATTGTTTTATTTGTGGATGAGAAATGTAAACTGGCCCTAGGACGGTAGAGACCATAGATTTTTTGAGAAACGTGTCAGACATAATGGAAAACATACCGTTATTTTCACATAAAACAATTTACTACCATCCATCCACAAACATAAGAATTCCTGAGATTTTTAGGATGCATTGAGTACGAACAGAATATGTTTTCTAGGGTATAAAGGAATGAATATAATTACAGAGCATGCTTATATATAATTACAGAGCATGCCCATCCATTTTACATCAGTGTGCTGTTGCCTTTCTTCTGAAGTCTTGCCCGTCGCTCATCTACCAGCATCCGGGCGAAATGGATCAGCTCCTGCTCATTGGTGCCCCTATATCCGTCTGGTTCGTTCTTGCTAGTCTCAATGTTCACCTTGCACACCGGCTTCTTCGGCAGCGCCTTGCCGACATCGACGAGGCGGTTCAGGTTCTCCCTAGTAGACACGTCGACGGACGACGTCTCGCCCTTGAGCTCGTCGTCCTGGATGCGGAGGTAGCTCTTGCTGCAGTGCAGCGCCTGGAAGAGCACAGAGCCGTGGATGTCGACGAGGTCGGAGCTGGCCTGGCTGAAGCTGTCGATGATGGGATTTTCTTGGAGATCCGTACATATGTTGCTCCCTTCTTTGACTACAACTCTCAATGCACAAGCAAAGCAGGAACCAGCAAATTAAGCGAGATTAGCAAGCATCACTCATTATGTGGAGATTTAGTAGAAAAGGTGGAGTTTGAAATCAGATTTATGCATAAGCGAGTAAAGGGAAAAAAACATGCTATTGAAGTATAAGTGAATTATTCACTTTTCCCTATGAGAAGCATTAGGTTGTACTAGTGGCATGAGTCTTCAGTTCGAATCCTGTCAGGTGCAATCAAATAAAATAATTAAAACTTTGGGTTAAACCAGTTGATGTATGTAACCATTCTCAATATAGATGCAATTTTTTATAGCCTCTTAGGCCTCATTTGGCATGGCGCCACTTCACTAGTGGAGCCATGTTTTCCAGCTTCAGCTCGATGAACACCTTCATAGATGGAGCTGAAACTGTTTTGTTAAACCGTCTGGTAAAACGGCTTCACATAATGGGAAAAATGAAAGGACTATGTAACCATTTTCTTTCTATTTTTTGTTTATTTTCTCCTCACCGCATAGAGTTCTTCTCGTGGCCTGTGCGCCCTCCACCGGCGGCCCACGCCCTCCCCTGGTCGTCGCGCTCCGTCCCCCGCAGCCTGCGCGGCCCTCCCCGACCCCCGGTGCGCCCTCCCTATGGGGCGCTCCCGCCATGCGAGCCCGCACTACCTCTCCCATGGCCACACGCGCTTGTGCGCCTCGACAGGGGCAAAACAGGTCTCTCTCCTCCTGGGGTCCACATGGGTGAGGTGAAACCAGGTGAAGCCACTATTTTTGGCTCCATCCCACCCTAAACTCAGTGAGAGCTGGTTTTAAGAGCATCTCCAAGATATTAGCCAAAAGACTAGCCAAATTTATTGATTTAGCTACCCTATAAAATACATTTGACAAAAAAAATGCTAGAGTACTCCAACATACTCTATAAAACCAAGAGGCTGATGGCTAGTGATGTAGGATATCCAAAAGTAGAGAGCGAATAAGGTGGGATGAAGATCTACTAAATTTGAAGGGTCATTTATAGAGCCTCTTGGAGACGTTTTTCCTTCAATAATAGCCAAATTTACCTTTGGAAAACTAATCTCTTGGAGATGCTCTAAGAGGTTTCACCAATAAAGTCGTTTCATTTTACTCCGTTTGGCTCCAAACGGCTGAAGCTGGTGGAGAAGCCCTGCTAAACAGGGCCTTAGCTAGCGTGTTCTCCATCTAAAGACATGTTTTTGGTATGGTGGCCATAAGAACCTAGTTTAATTTGATTTTTTGGTAGTTTTAGGGCTACTTCTTGTCTAGTTGTGAAATAGTTTGTTTCAATTAAGGTTTGTTGTTTCAATTTTTCTAGATCCCCAATTCAACATCTTCTCGAGGCCATTTGATTCTTACAATAGCAAGATGCATCTCAGGGCATGTACAACCCATAGATAGGACTTGTCTACAAGTTCTTGGAATCCACAACACAAACAACTAAATAGACAACTCATACAACCCACAGATAGAGTGGTCTGTTTGACTGTCTGCAAATAGTTTAATGCTTATATGTAGCCATGATCAATCATGAACATCATTTTAGTATTACCATTGTGTTGTTATTTGATACAACATGATTTCACACCCACAATCAATCAAAGGTTACAAATGTTCATACTATAATTGTAAAGAATTCTATTTCACCCTCGAGCAAACAAAGAGCCTCCCTGGCGTTCTCTTTCAACTTAACATTCAGCTCGCTATGGAACTGGGACATGAACAGCAGCTTCACGGTGGCAGCATGCACGCAGCAGGAAAAAAAAAATGATCTAATATAGAACAGGGCAGAAAAAAAGAGAAATAAAAACAATACATCCAGGAGTTTGATGGCTTTCAAAATTCTGAAAAAGATATCAGGCAAGCACACGAGCTTCTGTATGGGGGGTCACCATATCTTGTATCATCAATAGAAGCAGTTCCAATGGCCTCTGTATAGTTCTGAGAGAGGCAACATTGTCAATGTAAGTCATAATCCAGAATTCTTTCCTCTAAATTCAGAAGTAAAAGCAAACAAAATAATGCTGGTCTGGAATTGTATGTTGCTGCAAAGAAGCAACCCCTCAGAATGTCACTAACTACATTATTACTAACTCTACTCCTTTTCATGTGCAGGTTTCAAAACCTTATGCTTGAAAGGGATCCCCAAGGCAAGTGTATATGAGTAGTTAATTAGCGCGTTCACTTTATTGACTGTGAACTATGCAAACCTTGGTTCTATTGATGTGCGTGGAAAATGTAGTTGCTGGTTTTAAGGATAAAATCAGATACACACCATATGTGAGCCCAGAAAGTTAAATCTCACATATAATTATAAATAAAGGTAATATCAATAGATAATGCTTAATATATAACGTACTTAGTATAAAGGATATAACCTCAGATAGCAAACAACGGAAAGACAACTCTGATCTTCGGGTGAAGACTCTAATTTCACTAGGACAACTGACTGGTTGATCACAATCCTAACTTCTTCAAACTCTAGCGATCTGGTACCCATCCGGGATTTTTATCCAAATAATTAAAAAATAAAGCAAGCATAAGTACATGTCGTACTCAACAAATATATCATAGAGTTCATGAGGCTCAAAAGACAGACATTGGTTTAACTGTGATTAACTTTTAATGAGTCACAATTTTAGTAATTGAGTAACAACAAGGTTATCATAAGCCCATAAACACATGATCAGGTAAACATGAATAATGAATAGTATAAACAGTAATAATTAGTGAGCATCTTCATCATCAGTGTTCATCATCTATTCCGTAAGGGTCCAAGGCTGTTCATGATCGTGAGCACGACTGATATACCAGTTTTACACTCTGCAGAGGTTGTACACTTTCACTGTGAGTTGTGATTTACCCTTTCGCTCGAGGTGATCAGCCTCTTGACCCACTACCAAGAAAGGTCGACAGGGTTCACTACGAAGCTTTTCAATTGTTCGTCTAACAAGTTAGGGCCATTAGATTTACTTGGCAAACAGATATAGAAACCCCCTGTCGAATGATATAATTCCATCACGGCTATACACATAAGAGTAGAGGCTGTCCTATACCCGATTCGACAAGCCATTCTTACGCCAATAAAGGTAACCTCTAACAAGCTAGAAAAGGTCCTCATACTGAGCTAAAGTCAGAGCCATGCAGCCCTTACAGTTGTACTGTAAGTCTCAGATGTTCGCTTACAGATATGTCCTTAGAGAGAGAAATCTAAAGCACCATAAAAACAGCCCAATACTCTAGTCCCCTTGTTCCATGTTGCTAAAAAGCATCTTTTAATGTTTATTGCATATACCATTAGTCAAGTTATAATATCATAGCTTTAGTTGAGCACTAGCATCATACTACCCAATGCAATACCCCATAGGTATCAAGGTACAAGGTAACAAAGCAATAGAAAATCCTTAGTGGCAGTCAAGGTAAACACATGCAGTATGAATTAAATGATTAAAGGTGTAAAGGACAACAAGAAAGATCCTATGCTATACTTGCCTTAAACTTAGATCCTTCTTCTAGTCTAAACCTTCAAAGATCTACTTCTTGATTCACCACGTATAACTCACCGACTGGACAAGATCATTAAGCACCACACAAGCATCCGAACAAACATGCATAGCATTCAAACATAACTATATTAGAACAACAAACCAATCAGTGAAAAAGAATTTGAAATCAAATCTACGCGTTGCTACGATCACACAGACGAGAAAAGCACGCTAATCGAAGCTACGGTGGAAAAGATACAACTACCGATAGATTTACTTTAAAAAGAAACTATATGCTTCATTTATTTTAGCTATATAAAATATGTATAAGATACTTTAGAAGAATATCTAAATTATTTTAAGCCAAATTATATATGTATTAGAAAACCAATATAAGATTAATCTTATTTTATTTACAAAAGACAAAGGTGAAAAACTCTAAGTTACTTTTAATTATAAAAATCCAATTGCATAATCATTATTCAAGTTAGGATTTAAACCATGAAATTTTAGAAATAGTGACATGATAAACATTGTTACTAACGCGTAGATCTCGTTGTAATGAATCTAAAGCAACTTGAACGGGTCAAATCGGAGTTAAAACGGAGAAGATATGGCCTACAGAAGATAGTGGCAATTTTGTAAATAGATGGAACTTGATTTTTGAAT